TTGTACATTCACATGAACAAACAATGACATCTTTTGAGCGTAAGTGTTTGAAGATACGTATGCGGATATTCAGTTCACCCACATCCACATCTTTAATCATTATCATTTGTATCTTCTCTTTGAAAGATTGTTTCAAAGAAAATAAATGTATACAGGATTAATTTATTTCACAAAACAAAAAAGAAAATAAATAATAAAAATAATAGATCGATTCAAATATCGTATGTTCCTTGAAAAGTAAATTCAAAATATAACGAACATGTTCTATTTCGTTTTGTTACTTGTTCAATAGTCGATTCACCTTGTTCAGTCCGATGATTTTTCACAAGTTCAATTGAATTCAATATTTTATTTTGTTTTAAAATTGCAATAATGCTTGACACATAGTGATCTCAAATGGTTACTATCATTAAGATACAAATGTTCAAGAGAATTGTTATGATCAAATGCATCGACTAATAGATTAATGACATTAGCACGAATCGAATTTCAACTCAAAGCCAAATAATGTAAATTATTATTCATGTGTATCATACTTACTATTTCATATACACCATTAATGGTCATATCAGTTGATTCAAGTTTCAATTTAACCTTTTGAGGCCGAAAATTTTTTTTAATCGAAAAGTGATTCTTCAATCATTTTATTTAATTTAGATGAAAATGATTACATAAAAATCTTATGACAATCAAAAACAAACAATTTTTTTATCTTTTAAATATCAGAGGGTCCAATCTCATCTAAATTATCTATTAATTTATTATAACCAAAATCGAAGTCACTCTCGTTGCTATCGTCACCAGTATAGAAATTACAAAAATCGTTATAGATTTCAATATTTCCATATAATTCCATTTGTTTAGTTTTAATTATAAACAGAATATAAAGAAATGAAGAGTACAAGTAGTTTTATTTCCCTCTGAATGAAAAAGTAAAAATGGTTTGTTGAAAAAGGATGTAGTTATACCTCTACTTCGTAGTGGACGAAAAATGATGAATATTTTTCAAAATCAAGAACAACGTAAAATCATCAATGAGAATACGAATATATATATATAAGCGCAATAAAGCGTAAAAATATTTTTGAAAGACAATAGATAAGAAGAAAAGAGCAAAATCATGACATCATGGTACAGTAGCAGAAAGGGCAGAGAACATTTGGAAAGAATCTACAGTAAAATCTTCTTTTTTCTAATTATAAGTATTCAGTTACAATCACTTTTCGACTGCACAAAGTGATCTTTTTCTTTTTTCCAACAATATAATAAGTCAACTTTTTTACTCAGACGTGATTCAATACGTATTGACATGGTTTGATGTTACTAGCTGTTAACACAAGAGCGACGAGATGTTACACCAAGCACTGTTGGTGTTATCTAATATTGTTTTTCTTTGCTTTTAAATATACATGGTTCATACATCTCCTTCGTATGTGTGTTCTATGATTGTTTGTCATAACGCAATATATATAACATCATTTTTTCTCGTGTTGTATATGAGTGATAGAACATTTGTTGCTCACATTACAGAGATTGTTATGAATTATGAGACTAAAGATAAGCGTCCACTGTTCAGTATAAGAAGATGCTCATATTAGAGAGGCTTATTCCTAGAAAAATTCGCTTGAGTGAATTATCTATCATTCAGCAGTAGGGGATGCTCGCATAGAGAGGTTTTACTGTATATGCAAGAAAGAAAGAAAAGATCAGTATGAGATAATGAATGGGATCACTTGTGACCTATATGGCCTTGTAAATCTAACAGTTTAATTTAAATAAAAATACTGTTTCTCTACTGAAAAACACGTGGGACAACGCATGTCCCACTGTCCTCAAAAGGTTAAGCTTTCTACGAGAAATTAAAGTACCTCCGCTACTAATTTTAGTATGTCCGAAGTATTTTATTATGAACTCGATCCAATGAGAGAATATTCAATTCTTCATGAACACAGTTCCGTTCGGTATGTTCAGACATTTACATTATAATATCAGAGATTGCTGATTTCTCTTATTTCAGATTTTTAGACAACTGAAAATAGTAGAAATCTGCCTTGACGAGATCAAATAGACCGAGGGTCGTCCGTATCAATTCCTTTTATAATGATCTGTTGCGATGCGATTTTAATAACTTTACAGATTAAGCGCTCTCGAAATTAACTGACTCGGGAACTGTATCAATTGAGAAGAAACTTTTTGAGGAGACTTTCTTCATTATATAGGATTCATTGAGAGTAAAGTATGGCTAGAATAAATCATATCGTTACGTCTCCATTCTTGAGTTAGAATACTTTCATTAATTTTTTAGGTCTATATTCAAGTACCTCATAAAAAATCAAATGTTTGAATTTCGATTTGAAATTTTGTACTCAAAGAGGAAATCAAGCGAAACTCAAAGATCTTAGTTAACATCATCAACATATACTTTCAATATAATATGTATACTTAACTACAAATTAGATTAGTCGGATTGTTTCAACATGATCGAAACCGGTCATGATATGCTCTGCTTATTGAATGTCATATAATTAATCTTTTGGTTTATTTGTATACTATATCAATTTTCATTTCATCCATGTAACTTATTCAATTAAAACAACAATTTTCAATAAACATTATAGTTAAAATTCATATTAACAAAAAGATTAGATCTCTAAATCTATTTTTTGGTAACCTATTCGTATCTAAAGTTATACCCAAAAAATATTAACAAAAGGAATAAAAAAAGCTTCATTATTTTCTCTTATCATATTTATTTTACGTGAGAAAAAAAACATTTATACAGCTTCATTCTATGTGACTTTCCATAGCATACGTTAACTATCTATGTTTTAAACACTGTTTTCTTTATATTTATATATATTTTATGATTGATACGAATTTTGTATCGTGATTAAGATTGACATGAAAAAGAAGATATTCACAAGGAACGTCTTTGCGTAATTCTAAAAGACACTACGAGCTATAATTAATTATTTTTTAATAAAAAAAAAAGATTGGTTAATATGGAATTGTCTTTCATTCTTCTCATGAGACACATGTGCATGTTTTTTACTCTCACGATGATAACAGTATTAGTATTCGACTCATCGACTGCAATATGTATTTTTCTATCGTGGTATATAAGTTGTAGGTTGACTGTTGTCCAAAATAGATGCGATAATAGAAAGCAAGTAAAATAGATATGATTGCTGCACCTATTATTGTGGCATATTTCGCTGCATGGTCGATTTATTCTCGATCATATTTTATTGCCGATATTCCGGGAGATAAAATCACTCACATCAATTATGCATTTGCCGATATTGGTTCAGATGGTCAACTGGTATTGGGTGATTCATGGGCTGATGTAGAAAAAGCTTTTCCAGGTGATACATGGGATCAACCATTACGTGGAAATTTTAATCAATTACTTAAACTTAAACAAAGATATCCACATCTTCGAACATTAATTTCTGTTGGTGGATGGGTAAATTTTGTTTTCTTTTCTTTTATTCTAAAAAAAAACAAAATTCTTATAGACATGGTCCGGTAGATTTTCTGATGTCGCTCTAACGGCTGCAAGTCGTTCTAAATTTGCTCAATCTTGTGTTGAATTTGTTCGACAATATGGTTTTGATGGAGTTGATCTTGATTGGTAAATATGTATATTTTGTTTTTTTTCATTGATGTAACATGATATTTTGTTTTTAAAGGGAATATCCTGTCTCTGGCGGTCTTCCTGGAAATACTGTCCGACCAGAAGATAAACAAAATTATGTACTTTTACTTCAAGAAATTCGTCAACAACTCGATAATGTCGGTATGGTCGATGGTAAAAGATATTTGCTGACTGTGGCGTAGGTTAATAAATTTTAATTGATTGAAGTATTTTATTTTATTCTATATGTTAATATAGAACTGGTGCAGGTACTGAACGAATTGCTGATATGAATTTACCTGGTATGTCTACCTATCTTGATTGGATTAATGTTATGACGTACGATTTTCATGGTAAATGCTACTTTTCTCATAATATATATTAATATATGTACTTGTATTACTCAACGACAGGTGGTTGGGAAGCAAAAACGGGTCATAATGCTCCTTTGTATAAGAACGATGCAGAAACAGCTAGTGATGTTGCTCCATCATACATCAAATCAAGATACAATTGTCATGCATCTATTCAAGGTTATATTGCTGCTGGTGTTCCTCGCTCGAAACTAATTATGGGTTTAGGTTTATATGGACGTGGTTGGCAAGGTAAACTGTATTTTTCATTTATTAATTAGATTTTTTTAAAAAAAGTTTTATTTTTCTATATAGGAGTTACTAGTACGGCTCAAAATGGATTTTCCCAATCTGCTTCAAGTCAACTTCCAATGGGTACATGGGAAAATGGTATATTTGATTATGATCATTTAAAAAGAAGTTATTTACCTACATATACACGTTATTGGGATGATGCATCTAAAGTACCATTTCTTTTCAATCCATCAACAGGTATTTGGATAAGTTATGATGATCTTGAATCGATTTCACTCAAAAATGATTATATCAAGCGAGAACAATTGGGTGGTGCAATGTTTTGGGAATTAAGTGGTGATCGTAATGCAGAACTTGTTGGTGCTACATTTTCAGCATTAACCAATGGTCAAACACCACCACCAGGAACAAATCCACCTACTGTACCTACTCCTGTTACTACTCAAACAAATGAACCTGGTTCTACTGCTTCTGTATCTACGACTCAAGCACCTAGTGGAGATGCACTTCCATGGCAAGCTGATAAATTATATAATGTAGGTGATCGAGTTACATATGAGGGTAAAACATATCGATGTCTTCAAACACACGCATCAATACCTGGTTGGACACCAACTGTTGTTCCTGCACTTTGGCAACTTGTTTAAATTATCTTGTTCTTTTTTGTTTTCCAGTTTAAACTCGCTAGTTGTTTAACATAAAAGAAACATTTTGAGAAATAAAAGATTAAAACGATCTATAAGTTATACTCGATAACATACAAACATTTCTATAAATATTTATATTTGATGATTACAGTTCACGACATAGTTATCGTATAATAAAACATCATTTAAAGGAGAAAATTTTGCTATTATAATAATTTCATAAATCAAAGCTTCTATTCACTACAAATACTTTATCAATCAATTGTATTTGTGGACTTTGACCTACACTATAGAAGTCAATATTGAAGAGCATCTGTTATTCTTAATATTATTGTGTGAATTTAGGCAAGCAAACATTATTTTCAGATATTAATATGCTCAAAAAGAAAAAACAAATAATTGTCATATGGTTAATTTGTTTGATAACATTTCTAACTATCGCACAAGATTAATAATGGTTCACCTTGAAGAGATTACTCAGTGTTTTTGTTTTGCTGAATGCAATTTAATATTGTCAATACATACTTTATCATACTTGCTTATCTTTGTGTTTAAAAAAGAAAATTAAAAAAGAAGAATGTTTTGATAAACATCTATTTCGTCAATTTTTTATTTGTCTACTGAGAGATTTGTCACACCGTACGTTAACCATCTCATTGTTGAGACTATTATTCTAATATTAAAATTGAAAAATATTCATCGTAATAAAACGATTTAAATTAGAAATTATCCTGAGTATGTGTCTTTCGATTACGATAATACTAGGCTAGCATAAATATATTAGCATTACTTTTTTTTTCAAATCTTAAACTCAATCTTTAATGAATTTTACTAAAGTTTTCTACCAATTTGCTTCGTTATCGATCATCATTATTTGAATTTCATATTAAATATTAAATATAAAAAAAATTCATTCGCAGTTAAGAATATATTCATTTAATTATCTTCTTTTTTCCACAAGAATAAATTCAGATATAACAAGACACACACACACACACACACACGCAATTAGATAGGGAATTATGAAGACGAAAAAATACATAGAAATAATAATGTACAGAGACAAAATAGGTTAAATTATCTGATCAACATTTTTACATGCGAAATCGTCTACAAAAACCAAAAAAATGAATAAGAATTACAAAATAAATTAAAGAAATATTCTCTTACTTAGGTGCTACTGCTGGGCCCTGGCGGGATAAGGGTGATTGTGAAGTTGTCTAAAATAAATTAAATAAAATTTATTCAATTTCAAAAAAGAAAAAAAAACTATTTTACTACTTGAAGAGTTCGTTCTGCACTTTGACATCGTTTATGTAACATTAACGGGTCTGGTGGTGATGTACATGTTAATCGTTCAACATCATTAAAAATAACATTAACACCACCCGTACTTGATGGAAGAACATCACCCTAATAAATAAAATATCAAACAAAAATCGATTTATCCTTATGATAAAGAAAAAAAGAAATTATATTTTTACTTTAACAAAATCAGTAACAATTTCGCCTTGTGCATCAAGATTTTGATGTGTTAAAACATATTTTGTTGTTCGAACTATTTCTTCTTTAGCTGGTGCTTGTTGAGTATATACTTTCTTATGAAATTTTGGTTGAAGAAGAGTCTCTATATTAAAATAAAATAATATTCCTTTATAGAAAAAAAAAACATTTCAAATATTTCACTTTTACCTGTTTGAACTGTTCCTTGTGGTCGATGTTCAAGCCAAATTTCACTTAATGAACGTGATCTTCGATGTTGTTGTCTTGGATGAGCAACAACTGCATGTCCACTTCCATTTTCAATATGTATTGGTTCAGTATTAGGTGTATGTGGAGTATGAGGACGACGAGAAGTTGAACTTAATGTTGGTGTATTATTATTATTATTATTTTGAGATATTATCATTTCAACACGATGATATTGTTGTTGTTGATTTTGATAATCATGTTCAGTCGGATTTCTGCAAAATAAAAAATTATGATAAGTGTATTGTGTGTTTTTTTATTTTTTGCATATGAAAAAAATATTTTACTCGAAATTAATATGTGATGATGCTGAATTAATTGGAATTAAAAATTGTTCACTTGTTATTGTATTCCTTGCAGCCATTGATCGAATAATATTTAATTTATCATCATGTTGTCGCTCAAGTTCACGCATTTGAGTTTCTTTAGTTTTAATTTCATTAATCTAAATAAAAAAAAAATTTGAAATATTTTCTATATATAAAATGAATGGGTTACATATTGTTGTTCAATTTCATTTAATTTTATTTTCATTCTATTTTCAAAATCATTTTTATCTTTTCGTCGTTCGAATTTTAATGATTTTATTTCGTTATTTCGTTCTTCAATCTAGTTTTTAACAAAAATTAAAAAAAAAAAGAATGTTTTTTTCTGTTAATAGATTAAGATTAATAAGAAAATACTTGTGTTTTAAGTGTATTATTGTCACGTTCAATTTGATGTGTTGCTTTATATAAATCATTTTGTGATTTTTCTAATAATTTAATTCGTGTTTGTAAATGACGAATTGTTTTTGTTTGTTGTTCATTTTCTTTTGATAAATCTTCATGATTCGACATAGTTGATTCATAATCAGATACTAGTTCAAGTGTAAATTTACGTAAAAAATCTTGTTGTTCTTGAATAAGCTAATAATTAAAAAAAAAGAACAAATTAATAAAATTATATAAAGAAAATCGAATAAAGATTTTCTTTTTTATACCATATTTAATCGTTGTCGTTCTTCGATACGGCGTCGTAAATGTTCTTGAAGAATTAAAATAGCTTCATCATCAGTTCCATCCAATAACGAATATTCAAGTGACGGAAATGGAGCAATTAATGCTTGAGCACTAGATAGAAACAAATCGATTTTCAGAATCCCACGAAGAACCTTCGGCAATGACTGATGTATTAGTGCTGTTAGCTTCTCTTATCATTAAGGTATCTGAATAAGGCGAAAATAAAATCGATCATCACTGTCAGTTTTTCGCGTGTTTAGCGACTACATTAGTCTTAACGGTGAAGGTTAAGTATGTATCTCTATATGCAATCATTATTATTTTAGCTTGTGTTCTCAATTTCGATTTATTTAACAAAATTGATCCAATTTCTTTTTTATCTATAAAAGAAAGAAAAAAAATGGAAAAATGTCTTCGATGATAGGATCTAGATCTAATTACCAGTATCAATAATGAAAAGTCACCTAATCGAATCCAGACCTAACGAAGTCTATTGAAAGTAGAAGTCTCAGTTGAAATAAATCGAAGCCGAGAGGTTGCAGTAAATATTATCGGTTTCTATCGTATGAATTACTTCTTTCATATAGAATAAAAATTTAAATAGAGTACTGTCGAAGTAAATAATTACCTCTACCGAATAGTCTGAGATGCATATAAATACTAAAATTCGAGAAATCAGGTTTTTAGTTTTTAGAATTTCATTTCCAACGAATGAAATCAAAATTTCTCAACACATTTGAAATGGTTAAATATTCTTTACTATGCTTTTGTAAGACATCATCCTATCTTATGTGTCTGTGAGAACGAAAAGTAGAGATGAATTTTCGTTTCTAGTATAACATTGTGTTATTTACTTGAATTCAGTAAAAAGTACTGTTTGAGCATTTTGTTGCTGTTGATTATCAATTTCTCGTAAAGCAGCAATACGAGTTGTTTTTGGTGGGACTGGAGGTGGTGGAGGAGGCGGTAAAGAACGTGGTACCATAACATCTTTCGTTAATTCACCAAATTTAAGTGCATGCTGAAAAAGTACAATTATTCAAAAATAAAATAAAAAGCTAATCATGAATTCATTTACTTGAATTTCTTCATATCCATCAACAGTTGGATTAACACAAAGTATCATTCGTATTCGACCTTCACCATCAAAATAACTCTTGAAAAAAGATGTTAATTTTGATTCACGATATGGTACCATCTATTTAATAAAGTATAGTTTTTTCTTTGATTAGAAATGAAAAAAAATAATAGTTTTACCTTGCTTGTACCTTGTGCTTGATTTTCACGTAAAATTTCAAAACATTGTCGAAGAACCATTAATGATGAATTAATATTACCTAAATTAAATTGAAATTTAAATAAAAAATAATACTTAAAATAATTTACTTACTTGCTTCTTTGACTCGTTCACCAACTGTTTTAGCTCGATTAACACGTTCACTACCAGCTAAATCAACTAAATGAATAGTACTTATTGTTAGATCATCTTTTGTCTATCATTAAAAAAAAAAACAAATATTTTCTCTATCATAGAAAATAAATTTTTGACATACAAGTGATGTTGGTGGAATATCATTATGAAATTGAACAAGACGCATTGATAGAACACTATGTGAACGACTTGATTCAGTATTTAATTGTGTATGAGCAATACGACGTCGTTTTAAACCCATATTAAGTAAATCAATAGCTTCTTCGCTTGTACGTACTTCAATTTCTTTAACATCTCTTATATATGGTCGACCACGATTATCTTCACGTAATTGTTTGGATTGTGGTGCTCTAGAACAGATTTATTTATTTTCTTTTTCTTTTTTTTTTTTTATAAATTATCTTACTTATTAAGAATATCGTCATCGAATAAATCATAAATATAATTATTATATATTTCAACAAATGTAACAAAGACAAAATATGAACAATTTTCATTTAATTGTGGATTCCATAATGATGTTGTATCTAATGTACGAGCATTTGATAATTCATGTACTCTATATATATATAAGAATTTCATTTAAACTCGAAATTAAATTATTACATGTTTTTTTTTTCAAAATTTCTTAGAAAACTCAATTAAGTACTAGCATACAAGATATTAGACGTGAGTATATTCGTGCAACATACTTAATTGAATTTCTGAGGATATCAGTAAAAGACATCATATGAATTAAATAATGTTCAAACATACCTGACACGTTGATTGTTACCATTTCTAACCATTTGAAGTTCTTTACGTTGTCGTTCAAGTAA